CAGACTGGAGATTTGGCCTCACTCCTTCCCCTCCCCTGAAGGCTGAATAAATAGGTGCAGGATGAGATGCATTTGAAAAGGAGCTGGCAGACAAAGATCTGAGATACAGAGTTGCTGAGGAGCTGGGAAGAGTGTGCTCAGGTAGGCAGAGCAGGGGGTCTGGGGGTGGAGGCTCTGAGTGGCACCAGCCAGGGACCATTAGAGATTATGCTGGGGGAGTTAAAAGCAATGATTAAGTCTGGGAACATTGTCTCCTTCATCTCAGCCCCTGCTGAGAACCCATCCCGGTAATCACCCCTCCCATGCCCATCGCTGCTCTCTGAGGCTCAGCCCACTGGCAAGGACCCACCAGCCTTCCTGACACACCTACTCTACCAACTTCCTGCTTCCTACCACCTACCTCTGAGGACTTTGCTCTCTGTGGTTCTGCAATTTGGATGGTAATCTTTGCCAAGATTCTGTCCACTCCAGTCCTGGTGATTCCCTGGGATGGATTGTGATCCAGTATTTATTATACATGGTTTCCAAGTACTTTGTGTGAAAAACAGACACAGCCCTGACTTCAAACAGCTCACAGTTTCTCTTTGGAGTCAAGTTAAACACAAAAAAAACAATGAAAACATGCAGAGAACTAGAGAATAACTTCCTTCCGGGCAACAGCAGGAAGTTATTAAATCCTCTTCCCATTTTTCTGCTTGCATCTCACTCTTGCTACCTCTCCATTGCCTTCCCCACAGTTCTTCCTGGAATAGTTTGGGCCAGGGCTCCCCAGTCTCCAGAAGCTAATGGCTAATGATCTGAGGTGGAGCTTCAGTTCAGTTCAATCGCTCAGTCGTGTCCAGCTCTTTTCGACCCCATGGACTGCAGCACACCAGGCCTCCCTGTCCATCGCCAACTCCCAGAGTTTACTCAAATTCATGTCCATTGAGTCGGTGATGCCATCCAACCATCTCATCCTCTGTCATTCCCTTCTTCTCCTGCCTTCAATCTTTGCCAGTATCGGGATCTTTTCCAATGAGCCCATTCTTCCAATCAGCTTCAGCATCAGTCTTTCCAATGAACATTCAGGACTGATTTCCTTTAGGATTGCCTGGTTGGATCTCCTTGCAATCCGAGGGACTCTCAAGAGTCTTCTTCAACACCACAGTTCAAAATCATCAATTCTTTGGCACTCAGCTTTCTTTATAGTCCAACTCTCACATCCATACATGACCACTGGAAAAACCATAGCTTTGACTAGACAGAACTTTGTTGGCAAAGTAATGTCTCTGCTTTTTAATATGCTATCTAGGTTGGTCATAACTTTTCTTCCAAGGAGCAAGTATCTTTTAATTTCATGGCTGCAGTCACCATCTGCAGTGATTTTGGAGCCCCCCCAAATAAAGTCTGTCACTGTTTCCACTGTTTCCCCATATATTTGCCATGAGGTGGAGCTTATGTAATAATGATAGAAATAAAGTTCATAGCAAATGTAATGAACTTGAATCATCCCCAAACCATTCCCTCGTCTGTGGAAAAATTGTCTTCCACAAAACTAACTGGTCCCTGGTGACAAAAATGTTGGGGCCCACTGGTTTGGACATAACACTCCATGAAGCCTCTTTATTTAGTTCCTCTTCAGAATGACATAGAAGTGGCCCAATTCTTTCTAGAGGTGTGGGTAGGAAGAGCAATTTTAATAATAAAATCCAGTAAACGATTTCCAGACCATACTAAGAGTGAATGGTTTGCTGTGGTTTCAGTTCAACACTTTATGCACAACTACTGCTGTGCTAAGTCTTCAAGGGAGGGGTGAGTGGTACAAAAATTAAAAACAAAAATTTGCCTCGAAAGAGCAGGTTCTTCATGCATTTCTAGTATTATCTGATTTATAAAATTTCAATCATATGAAATTCTTTGGAATATAGTACTTTGAGGTATTAATGCTTTTCAGACTCTTTCACTGAACTACCACTACAGTCATAGCACCAACGTCTTTAAAATCTCGTGCCTGTTTATAATCACATGGAATTTACGTTCCACTGTATATCAGTATTGGTTTTAATATAAAATGATCTTCCTCCCCCTCATCCCTCAAGGTCTAGTTATAACTGAAGCCATAGGAAAATGGGACACTTATCCTGTCTTTTAAGGGACACAGGTATCCTCCAAGAATCAGGGTAACGGCTCAATCTCTATCTGTTGATTCTCCCTCTTCCCCAGCCTACCTCCTAGGTCTGACCCTGCCGGGGGCTCCAGACCCTCCATTTTTTCTGCCTTGGCTCTCCACTGCAACAAGCTCAGAGTCTCCTGGCTCTGGGACATCTTGCCCCTGGCTTGCTTTCTTTCTGTGCCTCTCTCAGAGGAGGCTCCCTGTCAGTACGTGTCCTTGTTTTTACATTTTATATTGTTTTTGGTTTTGGACACACAGTCATTCAGGCTCAAGGCAAATAGTGGCGAAAAAGTCACCAATCATTTCATTAATTAATTCTTTCAAAAAATATGTATTGGCCACCTGCTGCTCAGATGAAGTGCTGAATATGGTGATGAGAAAAACAGAAGTATTTTCTACCCTGGTGGTGGTTGCAAGTTATTGGGAGAGACGACATTAATCAACTAACCTATCAGTATGTAATTGTGAGCTGTGCCAGGAAGGAAGGAAATGAGGGGCTATAAGAACAATAGAGCAAAAAAAAAGAACAATAGAGCAAAGTAGGGACTTGATCCAATCCAGATGAGGTGGTCCCGGAAGGCGTCCTTGAGAGAGAGACATCCCACATAAATGGCGAGGATGAGTAAGAGTTAGCTAAATGACAGCTAACTAAATGAGGGGAGGCATTCTGGTCAGAGGGAACAGCATGTGTAAGCGTCCCGTGGCTGGGGAGGGGAGCACAGCCAGCTTGAGGAACTGAAAGAAGACCAGTGTGGCCAGAGCACAGTCAGAGAAAAGAGAAGTGGGTCAGATGGGGGCCAGAATTCTAAAATCCAAATCGCTCATTTTAGCTGGAGATACATACATATACACTGGATACACAGTCAGGACATAGCCAAATATGCTTATTTAGTTCTAGAATAAACAAAGGAGGGGGAACTTTAAGTAAAAACAAATTCACCAAGCCCAGAAGTTCAGGAGAAGGTAAATTTACTAAAATAAATATTAAAAAAAAAAAACCACCCTCAGAAGACAGAGGGTAGGGACATGTTTGTTGAATGAAGGAAGGATAAACAATGGATGAATGACAACCTGCTACTGCATTGAGTGAAGTCACTCAGTCGTGTCCGACTCTTTGCGATCCCATGGACTGTAGTCTACCAGGCTTCTCTGTCCATGGGATTTTTCCAGGCAAGAGTACTGGAGTGGGTTGCCATTTCCTTCTCCAGGGGATTTTCCTGACCCAGGGATCGAACCTAGGTCTCCTGCATTGCAGGCAGACGCTTTACCTTCTGAGCCACCAGGGAAGCTACTGCATTCAGTTCAGTTCAGTCACTCAGTCGTGTCCGACTCTTTGCAACCCCATGAATCACAGCACGCCAGGCCTCCCTGTCCATCACCAACTCCCGGAGTCTACTCAAACTCATGTCCATTGAGTCGGTGATGCCATCCAGCCATCTCATCCTCTGTCATTCCCTTCTCCTCCTGCCCCCAATCCCTCCCAGCATCAGGGTCTTTTTCAATGAGTCAATTCTTCGTGTCNACAAGCGGGTTGACAATATACAGCCTTGACGTACTCCTATTTCCTATTTCCTATTCCAGTCTGTTGTTCCATGTCCAGTTCTAACTGTTGCTTCCTGACCTGCATATAGGTTTCTCAAGAGGCAGGTCAGGTGGTCTGGTATTCCCATCTCTTTCAGAATTTTCCACAGTTTATTGTGATCCACACAGTCAAAGGCTTTGGCATAGTCAATAAAGCAGAAATAGGTGTTTTTCTGGAACTCTTGCTTTTTCGATGATCCAGCGGATGTTGGCAATTTGACCTCTGGTTCCTCTGCCTTTTCTAAAACCAGCTTGAACATCTGGAAGTTCACGGTTCACATACTGCTGAATCCTGGCTTGGAGAATTTTGAGCATTACTTAACTAGCATGTGAGATGAGTGCAATTGTCACCTCCATTTGCAGACATGCTCTCAGCAGAAGCCTGACCTGGCTCTGCCTCTTTCAGGCCAAAATCACCTTCAGTTCTCTTCCCTCTGGAAGGCATAGCTTGCTACACCTGTGACAGTCACGGCATGGTCCTGCTGTATGGCTTTGATGGGTTGCCGCTTGCCTCTACCACTAGACTCATAGCTCCTTGAAGGCAGAGACCTGGCCCTTCTCATTTTTTTACCCCCAGGGAACAGCAGAGTGCCTGGCACACAACAGGTGCTCCTTGCTTGAAGGAGTGCACAGTGTCCTCTCATATAAATTCCACAAGGGGATCAGGGTAATGAAAGTGAGCAGTTGCCTAAGCCATCCATACCCTCAGGACTAAGTGCAAATATTTCCAGAGCACCATCTGCCTTAGACAACTGGTTTGGTAGTAAAATCTTAAACTTGTTCTTACAATGATCAAATCCAAGACCTTGTTTTCTGTGGGTGTATCCAGCTCATCAAGTCAATAGATACTAAGCAGAAAAATCCACAGGATGAATTGCCAGTCATCTCCACTAGCCCATGATATTCCTAGAGTCTTTTCTCCTACATCCATCCCACCGCCACCCTCCCTTCCCCAGCGCTTTCTTTACCTACCTTGAAAGGAAATGCTTTTCAGCAGCCACAGGCTGGGAGATGCTCTGGACAGCTCTTTGGGCCTCGTTCCCATCCAGCCAAACCCTGGCAAGCTCTGGAGGGAAGTGGAGGGGCTGCCGAGATTCAGCAAACCAGAGAGGGGAGAGTTGTATAAGCCAGATTTGTTTTCTCCAGAACTCTCAGAGGCAACCTGATACAACACGCAGCTACAGAGCAGGCATTATGACCCAGACCGGGGTGGGGGGTAGGGGGATGGTGAGCAGCCAGGAGCAGCTGGGAGGTTGGGGGAACAGAACTGAAGACAGACAACCGGCAGGAGGGGAGGCAGGGAGCCATTTCCTCCTGAGCCCAAGGCCAGGGAACCTGCGGGCTGGAGACAAACCAGTATTGTTAATGAGCCCTGGACACAGATGACAGCTGGCTTCCACAAAATGGGAGCCTGGGTCCTGCTCTAGAGCCACCCACTCAGGATCGGATGCTACCGTGCCCTTCTTCGGGAGAATGAAACCTAATCAACTGTTTCTCTTCCCAGCCTTTTGGAGACCAAGGTGACTAGAGGGTTAAACGGTCAGGTTCAAAACCTAAAGAATCAATACGTTTGTTTTCCACATTAAAACAATTTGCTAAATGGGAATTCCCTGGTGGTCCAGTGGTTAGGGTTCAGCGCTTTCACTGTGGTGACCCAAGTCAAATTAATCCGTGACTGGGGAGCTAAGATTCTGCAAGCTATGTAGAGGGACAAAATAAATAAATAAAAATTGCTAAATAATTGCTGAGTGCTGAGTTTTCAGCATTTACTTAAAGAGGAAATGGCAGTCTCAATTCTCAAGATGTTTACAGTTTAGTAGAAAAGTAAGCAGACACACAAAAAACTACACGTGAAAAACAATGTGGCTAAGTGTTATAAAAAGAGGATTCGAATCTGCCTTAATGAAGCCAAACCACAGGAGGCCACGAGGAGGCCGCTGGTCTTGAATGGCACCTGAAATGAAATCTGGAAGACAAAGCCATGGCAAATGCCTGTAATTCTAGGCCCCTGAGCAGTTTCCATGATGCAACCTTCCTTTCTTATCTGGGAGAATAATAATCTTCTAGTCCTTATCAGAGCCAGAGCCAGGCACTTTGATGAGCACTATGACACACCACCTTGGGTCATCATGAGAACCACGCTCGGGCGGTCTGCTTAATCTCCTGTTTTACAGCTGAGGAAACTGAGGCCGTGAGCTGTGCTGTGTTTAGTCACTCAGTCGTGTCCGACTCTTTGCAACCCCATGGACTGTAGCCCACCAGGCTCCTCTGTCCATGGGGATTCTCCAGGCAAGAATACTGGAGTGGGATGCCATGCCCTCCTCCAAGGGAGCTTCCCAACCCAGGGATCGAACCCAGGTCTCCCGCATTGCAGGTGGATTCTTTGCCATTTCAGCCAACCAGGGAATTAAGAAAAATAACTCATTCCAAGGCAATTGGCTAGGGAAAGAGTTGGAACTGGGATAGAAACCCAGGATATATTTTTAAAATTTAAACTGTATAGAAATCTATAACCAGGACTGTCCTGGTGGTCCAGTGGCTAAGACTCTGTGCTCCCAATGCAGGGGGCCCAGGTTCGATCCCTGGTCGGGGAACCAGATCCCATATGCCCAAACTAAGACCTGGCACAGCCAAATAAATAAATATTAAAAGAGAAAACCTATAAACTACTGTGTTCCAAAAGTGAAAACCTCCCTACACGATCCTAGGGAAATGCTCAGTGGTCCTGTGGGGCGGTTCAGCTTGCAGTAGCACCACTCTCAGGTGTTGGGCTCCTGGACACTAAAGCTCCCTAGGAGGAACCAAGACCATGTGGGAGAAGGCAAAGTGAGATCAAAACCACATCTCAGAATTCTGGAGAAGCAGGTGCAAGTTCCTTAGGCCAATCTACCTGAAACTGTGGGTCGTCCAGTCATGTCTGACTCTTTGCGACCCCATGGACTGTAGTCCACCAGGCTCCTCTGTCCATGGAATGCTCCAGGCAAGAATACTGGAGTGGGTAGCCATTTCCTTCTCCAGGAGATCTTCCCAACCTAGGGAATCAAACCCGGGTCTCCTGCATTGCAGGCAGACTCTTTACCCTCTGAGCCACCAGGGAAGCCCTATCTGAAATGGTCTCTAAATCAAAGACTTTGGCTGTAATCTCTGTCCTAAGCCCCTCGGGACTCCAGGAATTGTCCTTGCTCTCACAGGTGTGACCAGCCTGCATCCGCTGGCCCAAGGTGCTTGAGCTTCCTTTCAGTGTCTCAATGAATCATAAGCTGTTAGTTCTGACAGAGACTTTAGAGGTTATCTAGCCCAATCCCTTCCATTTTTACATTACACATTGACAGTAATTAATGGCAGAGCCACTAGGATGTTTTGTCTTTCAGTAAAAGGTCAGCTTACCACTAAACACTAAAAGCTGTTTCCCTTGCTTGCAAAACCCAGAAAAGAATCTCATAGCTGTTGAATTCATCTCCTGAAAACCTCTCTGAAACCCCACTTTTAAAGATTTTGCTCCACCTGCAGTACTGCTTTTTGTGGTAGAGGCCTGTGGGTAGGGAAGGGGGTGGAGAGCAGAGGAATGCATTTCTCTAAGGCAGAGAACAGAAGTCCTGCTTCCTCACCTGGAACCCCCAGCATCTCTGCCATATTCACAGCCAGCAGCCATCCATTTTGTGTGCCAGGCTCCTTATCAGCTTGACCCATTGACAGGCAGAGCTAAGCTCATCCTTTCACCTGCTGGCTGCTTATCTGGGACACATGATGTGTGGAAAACAGCCTGCCAGGCAGAGAGGGGCCAGGACTTTTCCTCTCAGGGCCCCAGCAGATGAGAGGAGCAGTGCTGAAGGGCTGGCTCTGCCCTCAGGGTCTCATGCCTTTGCTCTCCATTTAGGGTGGCCAACAGCTGCACTCTTCTGGCACCATGGGGCTAGGAGCAGACAGCAGGCGGGGAATGCCTACAGCAGGTGGGAGGCGCCACTGCTCCTCTTTGGCCCCAGTCATAAGGAGCCAGCCAGGCCTGCTCATCACTTTGCTCACCTTCTCCAAGGACCCTCAAGACACTTCTGCAGCCCATCTCCTGGGCCCCATCTCTACCCCCCTCCACTCCTTTGTAGGAACCAAACCTCTTGTTGGGAAAGGATGGTAGGTTCCCATAGCAATGGGCCTTTTAGCTGTTTCCATGGCAACCAACACCCAGACCATTTAGTTGCTAGTCAACTGACAGCTGTAAGTGAATAGGATTCAGTTTAGAATCAGAGGGATAGGCCAGAGAAGTCTCTTCGTAGAAGAAAGCACAACCACCCAAAAATGACTCAACTCTTCTAAAGACTTTTTAGGTAACATCCATGGAGATCCAGCACAACTTTCTACTGGAGGTCACACGAGACTGCTTCTCCAGTTCCCAACACACACACATACTCTCTCTCTCTCTCTCTCTCTCTCCTCAACTGAGTTTCTCAGGCCTTTAAATCCCCCAAGTTCTATATCCTATTATATCTCCTTCCCAAGGACCCTTGGGGACATCCTCCAAGACATTTTTCACACATAACCCTTTCCTCTGTGTCAGCACTCTTCCTATGTACCATGACCCTGTCCTCATGCTAACCCGGTCATTTAAGCAATATTTGTTTTTCAGATTGTCTGATGTGAATGGCTAATCCAGATCATTATCCCCTAGCCCAGACCTCACCTATGGCGAGTCACTTTCTTATGTCTGTGGGTGTTCCTAGAGCACAGACTGTTTTACCAACCTTTGCAAGGCATGATTAAGATCAATCTGTTTCTTTTTAAAAGTCAACTAAAATTTCAAAACCAAACATATGAGATTAGAAATTACTCCATGCTCATTACTTTTCATTACCCTGAAAATTTGACTAAATGCCAGGCCTCCCACCTAATACTCTTCCAAACTGGGGATACTCGGTATTGAATTCCCTTTATTCCATAAGCAGGAGTTCCCATCATGGTTTGTTTTTTATTCTCTTGGGCTCCAAAATCACTGCGGATGGTGACTGCATCCATAAAATTAAAAGACACTTGCTCCTCAGAAGAAAAACTATGACCAACCTATACAGCATATTAAAAAGCAGAGACATTACTTTGCTGACAAAGGTCCATTTAGTCAAAGCTATGGTTTTTCTAGTAGCCTTGTGCTTGTGTGGATGTGGGAGTNACTCCTGTTTCCTGCTTTACCAGGGGATTCTTTTTCACTGCACCACCAGGGAAGCCCCGCCATCATATTTTTTTATTCACTGGAGTCTGGGGTTTCTCTACCCTGGAATTCATGCAGAGGAGCTGTCTAAGCCTCCATGGCTTGCTCAGTGGACTAGAAAAGTGAGAGCATCATTGGAAACAGCATGACCTTTTTGAGGGGGACGGCTATGAGCCCTCTGTATGGAAGATGACCTTTCAAACTAATCCCCCCACGGGAGCCCTACTCAGCTCTCTGCTGCAGGCTCCATGTATCCTCACAATGGCCAGTAAACAGTTCTAAGCTGCTGCGTGACCCTTCTGCTCTGACTGAAGGATATACACTAGTGGAACTGCTTTTCTTCTGTCTTCTTTCAATGTGAGGACAGAAGTATAAAATGCAGGGCAGGGAGCTGTTAGCCTCAAAGGAGCCCAATGACATGAGAGTCTTCAGGGAAGGAGAGAGAGCAGACACACAGGACAACTGAGCTTTTCTCGTGTACAGAGGATTGCCTCGTCTTTGAGGGGACATGTCATCACACAGCAGATTGAACCTTCTGATTTTCCGGCTCTACCTAGATGAGGGACAGTGTCTATGTCTCTTGGAATAGCAGCTGATATTTCCTGATTGTACACTATGTGTCAGGGTCATTCTAATGTTTTATATGTAACATCTCATTTAATTCTCACAGCTTTACTGTTATTATATCTAGTTAACCCATAAGGAAACTGAAGTGCACAAAGGTTAAGAGATTTTAAGATCCTACTGGTAATCATTGGCTCCTGGGTGGGTCAGGTGGCAAAGAATCCACCTGCAACACAGGCGACCTAGGTTTAATCCCTGGATTGGGAAGATCCCCTGGAAGAGGGCATGGCAACCCACTCCAATATTCTTGCCTGGAGAATCTCCATGGACAGAGGAGCCTGGCAGGCTACAGTCTATGGGGTCGCAAAGAGTCAGACACAACTGAGCGACTAAGCACATCCAGGTAATCCTATGGATTGATGAAGCCGGGATCCAACTACAGCAGTCTGAAGCCACAGCACCTTTGGAATCCATTTAAGTCTGATAAGCCCAGGATCCAGCACAGGAAGACAGAGTGGGCTGTCCCTTTAGGCACAATGTGATAGAGTACACAGAACATCCTAGCTAGAGAACAATGATTGAATGGCTCTAGGAATTAACTTGGAAATCTTGGCTGCTGATAACCTTATTCCCAATGTATGGCTGTCCTCTGGTGGTTTTCCTGGGAAACTCACAAGCCGAAGAAATCTAGAAAAAATAGGATGAAAAGAACCAGACTAAATGATTTATTTACTGCCTAAGCACTCCAGACTAAAAAAG